TTAAAAGCATCAATCTGGTGCACTTTGAGAGCAACATTAGGAGATCTATACATTTCTCAACACCCATATGAAACAGAACTGTAAGCAGATCTCTTTTTCTATATGGATATTTTACAAATCACTCCCCTTTTAAACTCTATTCTTGTTTATTAATAACAACTTTTTTTTTACTGTCATATAGTATTTTATACCTGTTTACTTTATTCTCTTATTTTTGTATAGCTATGATCATATAAAGATGTGCCTTTACCTCACTGGTTGTATAAGCTTCTTATATTCATTAGCATAGCTAGCTAACCAGATGCTAATAATAACAAGTTATTGACTGTATGATCAGTATGACAGATGAACAGATCGCCACTGGGCTCACAACTAAAGACACAGCCACGCAAAAACTGCGGCATGTGTACGGCTCCTTATGGATACTGCAATTTATGAATTGCCAGAGCGGCGTTGTGGTGCCCCGGTCAGACGAGACACACACCACGTGATGACACGTTAGGCTTGTGTTGTGTTCAAGGACCCTGACCTTGGCCAGGAAAAACAGGTACTCGCTTGTTTCATTTTTTTTAGATCTAGATTTTTTTTTTCATCTGTTTATAAATTACCTCGAGGGCCGTACCAAATGGTCTCGCGGGCCGTATACGGGTCCCCACCCCTGATTTAGATAGATACACAAAAATACCAAAAAGTTCCCAATAATGGGGTTCTCTTGGACTTGTAATTGCTTCTGTATGTGTACATTAATACTCTCCAAGTACTGATCAACATGTATCATTTATTGAAAACTGTTGAAGATCAGACCTGGCGTTGCATATTATTATCTCTGATATTTCCCGAAAGCTTAACGAGTCTAATAAAAAAGCATGGTTGATCATGACCCCGCCGTCTTTATCTGAACCTCAATACGGTTCAATGCTTCAAGATGTTTGAAACCCAATGGACTGCCAAAACACAAATGAGTCATTGTTCAAGCCGGGGCTGCAAAAGTGTCAAGGCTGCTGTTCACAGAAAGCGTCCAGGTTGCCAGTGTGTGCTTCCCATTCGAGATATGAAGCGTCTGCTCTGTGCCACAGTCAAAGGCGTTGAATAAACAGTGCTTGCAACTTTGTGAAAAGGATTACTCAGCCTGTGGATTGCTCTATCACAACTCCCTCTCTGTCATGGTGATAAAACATGGGAGTGGGAGATTAGCAGTGGCAGTGTTACTCGTCCTCGGCCCTCTAAAAAGAGCTGGCAAAAGAAAGGGAGAGCAATTGAATGGCCAGAAACAGAAAACACTTCAGAGAACTTCTGAATTGTTAACCTCGTTTCGTTTATCAGTGTGCTAAAACTTTTACAGCTATACATAAAATACCCAAATTTAAACGAAAACTATTATTTTAGGAGGCAAGTGTCGTATCTTATGGGTGTAATGATAGTCTGGCTGACTTTGCAACACATGGTACACGTTGAAAATGTAAACAATTGTTAGAAAGACTGTGGGGAAAGGCTACTTCCTGGAGGCAGGAGGTCCAATTTCCGACCAAAGAGACAAATCTGCAGTGAGTGCAGTTTAGAAACCAATTGTTCAATAATCTTTTGACTAGCAGTACAATGTATTAGAGGGTTATCTTTCTACCACTGATGACAAGATTTCCCTTTTTTTTATGTTAGTTTAGATCAATTCCAGTTGGTGCAAG